TGCAACCTGCATCGAACAAAGAAAACAATGGTTGTTTTTCTCTCTGTTAATTAAATTACACGAGTGATGAGTAAAACAGAATATGATGGTTTATGTAGGATCTGCCTCCATGTCTCTTCTCGTTGAACATAGATTTTGTTAGAAAGGACATACGGATAGCATAACTCCATTATTAACAAAGAAAGATGTGATATAATGGAGGGTATGAACGGATATGAATGTAAAAGAGGAGAGAAAAGCCATTGATGAAAACAATGGAAAGGAAAAACCTCAAATATAGCGGAGGAAGGAGGTTTGAAGTTTGATCTTCAAGCATTTACTGGGTTTTGTTTGTCCACGAGAATGCTCTACCAGTCTCGTCTGCCTCGCCGATAGTATGAAAATAATTGCGTTTTGACCATGCACTGATAGTTGGGCCGTAAAATGCTAAAATCTGTTCTTAACCATAAATCTGTATTTATCTTGTATAATCTTAGTGATTTTATAAAATGAAATTTTTAATTAAGTGAGAATAATGTATTGGATAAAAGAAAATTTTGAAACAATATAATCTTGTTCAGTCCTAATAAAATCTTCACTTGAATCTCCATCAATCCCTTTACTTTCAATCAGATCCCATGCTTTCTGAGCCACCAACAATGTTTTGTCAGGTAAACATGGAGGAGAGCACACTTTACGCACAGACCCCCGACCGAAGTGGAAATTTTAGTTCTATGTGATAATAATCTTTACGTACATTTTAGTCTTTATCAAAAAATCACTATTGTTGTGCTACAAAATCATTCACCCATATATTCATTGTTCAAATAATTCACTTACCCCAACGGTCCCTTTCCATTTCCAACATAATACTTTGCCCACACCCCCACCACTTATTTCTCCTTCATGGCAGACATTTCTCTTCCTCTTTCTGCTCTAAACCAAAATCCTTCTTTTTTTAAACAATGGAAGCTGCTGCTAAGTGCTAATGCTAATCCTAGTAATATTCGAGTTCAACATGTGACTAAAAAATCATCTGATGAACTGCTGAGGATGTTTGCTGAACTGGAAGACGATGGTGATAAGGGTTCAACCAAAAGGGAGTTAAGGGTGGTGATTAAACGTTGGAAAGACAATGGTGGGTGAGCGAGCATGAGAAGGGAATCAGGTAGTAATAGTCAGTGTGAGAGTCCTTCAGGCAATGGAAGCAGCAACGTAGTGGAGAGGAAATGGCTTCTTCCTCCTGCGGCGGCCCACATTGCTTAGGCACTTGGGATTGGGAGGTCGCCAGCTAAGAGCTAAGGAAATCAGGAACATCTCCCTCTTTGGCACCATTGAAAAGGACGTTAAGTGTTAAAACACTCGAGTAGTTAGAGCACTCTTATTTCGTGGATTTTCATTTTTTTTTAATAAAAATAAATCTCAAATTGTAGAGGTAATACATTAATGATTAAATGAACAGTTGAAAAAATTAATTATAATATAATAATAATACTTTAATATTGACTATAAGTGATAACCTAATAGCTGCTCTTTGAAGCTATAAAATTGGACATATAAGAGGGACTTGAAAATGACCCAAACCAAAATCTTTCATCTCAATTGTTGCAAGTTGATATAAACTATTTTCTTGTGCTAATCAAATTGAAATTATTGACTTCACCACTACAATCATTTTTAAAATACTTAGATCCATATAGTATAATGTAATGAATTAAAGTGACTAATTCCAGTTTTTAATTGTATAAGATAAGAAGAATGTGGCTCATAATTTATCCTTGTTTTAAAAACAACCTAATTAGTATAGGTACCAAACATTTTCAACATCTTCTTATTGGTTTTTTTTTTCCGTTTTTTGGATTGGTATTTCTGTCTTCTTTTATTCTTTATTTATATTGATTCTGTCATATGTCACTAGGCAGGACAAAAAAAAAAGACAAATTATTATTATTATTTTTTATGCAGACATGGCGTAAAACTATTGAAGGAGCTGAAAAAATTTTCATGGAGAAACACTATAACACGTATAGGCGTTTGATTAATAATGTTGTCTGATTAGAGGTCAGAGCTGCCTAGCAAAAGGGAATTTAATTCAGGCCATGCAACACTGGGAGAACAATTTGTATCAATTTGTATATTGGCATCAAAGCATACGTAGTAGTTTTAACCATTCATTTTTTCTTTTTTTTTGTTATCAACAAAATAATTAATCTATGGAAGTCTTAAGTATGTTTTGGTGTAAAAGATATAAATATTTACTTATAGATTTAAAGAACGTTTTTTTTAAAAAAATTCTATGCATTAATCACCGAATTAAATGTTCAAATTTAATATTTTTTTATGCATTTTACCAAAAATAAAAGAGTGACATGTAAAATGCAGCGTTGGATAAAATTTTATGTGAGTGGCTGTAGGTAAATGGAGTTCAACAGTCAACATTGAACCAGAGAAGAAAAAGATGACCAGTCCATTTCTTTCCTGAACTGGTTTTCATGACTCTGAACTAAACAGACAAATACACATTGCTGCACCTTCAGAATAAAAAAAGAAAATCATGTAAGCTCCAAAATTTTCAGGATGTGAAATCAGGTTACTGCTAAAGTTCCAAGCCATCACATCAATGGAGAAAAACACACAGCACTAATTTTTACCCACACCAAGATTTTGGAAGTTCCATTAATTGTGGACACTTTAAACACACCCCACGCTCTCCCCGATTCACTTGTCGATTTCATATTGACAAAAGCTACAGAAATCAGCATCCTCTGATTGAATGTCTATAATTTATTGCAAACTGTTTAATTGATTGGTGGCCTTTTAGATTAAGATTGAGATGATTTTATAGGTAAGCTAAAACACATTGACAAGCTTGTGATACAAAAGAAAAGCCTCGGTTTCACATGCCACAATGTCACGTGATTTTGGGTCTTTTTTAGTTTTGGAAAATAACATAACTCTACCACCACCATCACAACGACATCCTATTTCCTTTCCCCCAATATTTATAAAAACAAGTAGTAACTGTTGACCCACCTACTCCTTCACACCTGTTTTCCTTCAATCTGTTTTCCCCTACTAAAATTATGTTTTCTTTGGTTTGTGTTCAATTTAGATTTTGTAATTTGTGTCATCGAATCATATAAAATATTTTATTTATATCATATTTTATATAAAAATAATGTGTTTTAATTTATATTGATATAAAAATATAAAATATAAAATTTTTATTTTATTAAATTTATTTATAATTTTTTTAAAATTTTAAATAATATTTTTTTCTTATCTTTTATTTATTTTATTTTCATATTATGTTATCATATCATATTTCAAATTATCATATCTAATTTAATTTTTAAAACTCGTTTGCATTATTTTGTGCCAATAGTAGGGACTTTCATAAACCTCATATGTTAATGAGAAAATTGGGATTTTATTTGCAATCAAAAAAGAATAGAGGGAAATTATCTCAAACAAATGTACATATATTAGTTCATTGACTCTCAAAAATAAATTGTTTATGTTTTAAGTATGTGTAAGTATCACAGATTTAAGGAAGAGTTATGAATCTTACATTGGACATAAAAGTAGAGTCATTGAGGTATAAAAGAGTTCACACCACTTTTTCCTTGTGAGTCATTTTTTGTATGATAAAATCGTGAGGTCGAGGGGTCAAAGCGGACAATACATTATAAAAGTATGAATCGTTATAGGTAGGTTGATCCGGAACATCAAAAGAGTAGATGATTGGGTTCTAAAGTTGCGTGGGTCTTAAACTTAAGTCTCGACCTCTGATAAGTGGTATCAAAGCTAACCCTAAACTATTCGATCCATCCCAAGCGTCTCAAGGGAAGTAGGTAAGGTGGTCAACCTTCGTAATGAAAGCGTCATGAGATTGGATGGAAAAAAATGTTACGGACTTAAAGGAAGTAGGCAAGGTGACCAGCCTTTGTGATGAAGGCGTCACGAGGTTGGGTGGAGGAGAATGTTACGGACTTAAATATGAGGTTGGATGAGAAAAAATATCACGGACTTAAAGAAGAGTCTTGAATCCCACATCGAACGTAAAATAAAGGTTATTGGGATATAAAAAGGTTCATATCATTTTTTTTTTGTGATGTGTCTTTTAATGTCAAAAGGACAAAAAGTAGATAATACCTCATAAAGTTATGAATCGTGATAAATAGGTTGATCCGAAACATCAAAATAACTCACAAGATTATAAAGCGTAATAGATAAATTGATCCGAGACATCAAAAAAGTAAATGCTCAGATCTTAAAATCACACAAATCTAAAATTTTAATCTCGATCCGTGACACAGGTTCATCTCTTTGACTAATTTCTTAACATTTGTACAATATAATTGTTTTTATGCACAGTATTAAAACTCAATTTTTAGATTTTACAATTTTTGAAAGACATTAAATTTATTGGTTCTATAAATTACAACTAAAAAAACTCATTGATAAATCACACCTCAAGTCCATATCAACATGATATAAACACTAGCACAAAAAAATTTAAGTCCACTTTTATTAGAATCCGATGATAATTGATGAAATAAATAATTTAAAAATTTAATGTAAAATTTAAATTTTAAAAATCAAACACAAAAACAAAATATTATCCAAAAATTTCTATCTAACATCTATAAAAGCTCCCAAAAGAGAAATGATAGAAAAAAGATTTAAACATGAGTTGTTCTTCTTCTTCTGTTTAGCTGAGGTGTGCAATTTAATTTGTTTCTACAAAAGGAAAATGCACATACTCTGGGTTTGGATGTTGTAACTTATGTTGCATTAGATTCAAAATTTGGTAATTTTTTATATTAATTTTGAACATTCAAGCATCATGTTCATGTAAATAAATATAAAAGTAACGAAGTATTCAAGAAAAAAATTTTGATTTACCGTTAAAATATTAAAACTTTAATTTAATTTGTATCAGATTCAACGTTCGATAACATTTAAAAAAAAAAAAAAAGAAACAAAGGAAATAAAGAGGGTCCCAGATCTGGGGTCATCGTCTGATGGCTTCATCGTAAGAACAGAAAAGAAATGAAAAGGGCAAACTTTCTGTTTTAGAAAAAGAAAGAAAAAACAACGAAAAGTATTGCTATTTGCTCATAGGTGTTGTCAACTTTTCTTTCCCTCTGCAAGCAAAGCTCTCTTCCTTTTTACAATACAAGAAAAAAAAAGGAAAAATGTCCATTTTTTTTCTCTACTATTCTCTCTAAAATACCCCCACTTTCTCTTTGTCTCCCTGATCCATCAAATTCTTCATCTTTTCTTTCTTGTATTTTTACATTTCTTCTTCTTCTTCTTCTTCAAATTGTCCTGACTTTCCAAGAAACCCAAACCAGAATTCACTTACTTTGATTAAAAAAACTTGTGGGTTCTCAGAAATTTTCACTATCCAAACCTTAAAAACCCATCTTTTATTATAATTGTTATTTTATTTTCAACCCATTTTTTGCTTTCAAAGTGAAAAGTTCAAAAAAGGGTATTGTTTTTAAGGGAAATGAGGGATGTTTTCATGGTTGGCAAGGATAGCTCTCGCCTGTTGGAGACCAGTGAGTCGATATGCCCGTATGAACAAGGATAATAATAATAGTAATAATGATGAACTTGAAGAAGATTCTTCTTCCTTACGTGATTCACTTCTTTGGTGTAAAGACCTTGAAAAACACGCTTATGGTGATTTCTCCTTTGCTGTTGTTCAAGCCAATGAGATTATTGAAGATCATAGTCAAGTTGAAACTGGAAAAGATGCTACTTTTGTTGGTGTCTATGATGGACATGGTGGCCCTGATGCTTCTCGCTTTATCTCTGATCATCTCTTTCAAAATTTGATTAGTAAGTTCTCTTCTTTTTTTTTTTTTATTATGAATGCTTTCTGTTTTGGTGGATTATTGGTTGAGATGTTTAGGAATTTCTTCCATGTGGATTTTTTTGCTTTTCTTTCTGTTGGTTTTGTTAATTTGTGCTAATCATGTGTTTCTTGGATGAATTTTCGGGTAATGAGTTGAGTTCTTGGGAATTTTTTTATCCTTGGTGTTTTGTCTTCGTTGTAATTTTTCTGTACATATGGCGGTAATGTTATCAATTTTGTGACTCTGATGCGATGGATGTTTGTGGTTTGTCTTTTTTTTTAACTTTCTTCAGTCTTAATTTTTGGCAATCTTCTGCTAATATAAACAACTTTTATGTATTTTTGACTTTTTGAGCCATCTTAGAAGAATTATTTGCTTAGATTTTTCTGGATTCTTATGTGTCTGTTGGAAACATATTTGTCTATTTATTTCCTTATTTATGTATTTCCTTTTTCATATTTGTTTGAATGACATTATTGTTGATATCCGCACTAGTTTTCATATTGCAGTAGGCTGTGCCTGTGATAGATGTTGGTTTGGAGCAACCTTATGTGAATTTTTATTTGTCTGTTTGTCTATTTTCTTGGACCTTACTGATAAAATGATGTGATGTCACACTGAGTTGGATTTTATTTGGAATTCTAACTATGGTAAATGAAAATTTTGTTTTTAATATAAAACTATTATGGTTTAAATATAATGTCAAGTTGTCAACAAACAAAGTATCTTACAGTTGACTTTGGAATCTCAACATTTGCTTAAAAAAGTAAGATCATCAAAAATTGAGAACATTTGGAGCTTTAGTTCCACATTAATATTTTTAAAGATATGTACGAAGGAGTTGTAATGAATGTGAGAACATTTAAGGGTTTGACTGATAGCTTTTCTATTATCTCAAGATTGCATCAACGCTTAACAGTAAGTCTTTTTCTTTTTGCATTAGTTATGGATGAGTTCACTGGACATATTCAAGATAAGGTAACATGGTGTATGTTATTTGTCGATGATATAGTCTTACTTGCTGAAACTAATGATGATCTTAACGCGAAATTAGAATTACAGAGACATACGCTAGAGTTTTCAAAGCTTTAAATTGAGTAGATATAAAAGTGAATATATGGAATGTAAGTTTAATAGTCATAGGGAAGCAAGTGCTAATGTGATTAAGTTGTTGGGTAAGGTAGTACCAAAGAGTAGTCATTTTCGATATTTGGGATCAATTATTCAAAGTGATGTTGAAATAGAAAGGGATGTAAATCATAGGATTCAAGTAGGATGAGTGAGAGGGTGAAGTGCATCGGGTATGTTATGTGATTGCAACATACTTTTAAAGTTAAAGTGGAAGTTGTATAAAACAACTCTAAGGCCTGCATTGTTATATAAGACTGAGTGTTGGCCCGTTAAGAAACAACGAGAAGAAAATGAACGTAGTTGAGATGAGAATGCTTAGATGGATGAGTGGTAAGACTAGAAAAGACAAAATCAGAAATGAAGAGATTTGAGGAAAATTAAGGGTAGTCTAAATTGAGAAAAAGATGAGATAGGACCATTTGAGATGGTTTTGACATGTGAAACGTAGGCCTATTTGTGCACCAGTTAGGAGAAATGAGCTTCTAGATTTGGAAGAGACCAAACCTTATAGAGACAGACTATGAAAGACATGGATGCAAGTAATAAGAAATGATATAAGGGTTAAGGAAGTAGATGAAAAAGTTGTTTTCTATAGAAATGAGTGGCGCAAGAAGATTCAAAACTACCATCTAACATGATTCTTTTTTTTTTGGCCTTTCATATAGCCGACCTTAGAGTTATGGGGTATAAAGCTTTATTTGTTGTTATAGTTGTTATTTTAAAATGCATCTTACATATCATTCAACAGGGCTTGCTCAAGCAAATGGAACCATTTCTGAAGATATTCTTAGAAGTGCTTTCTCCGCAACTGAAGATGGGTTTCTTACTCTTGTACGTAGGACATGTGGAATAAAACCCTTAATTGCAGCCATTGGATCTTGTTGTCTGGTTGGAGTTATATGGAGGGGGACATTATACGTTGCTAATTTGGGCGATTCTCGAGCTGTAATTGGCTATTTAGGTAGATCAAATAAGATAGTTGCTGAGCAGTTGACTAGAGATCACAATGCAAGTATGGAGGAGGTCAGACAGGAACTCAGGTCACTGCATCCGGATGATTCTCATATTGTTGTTATGAAGCATGGAGTATGGCGTATTAAAGGCATCATTCAGGTATGAGCCCTTCATTGTCATCTGCTTTCCATGTCTTACGCTATGATGCATGTGTGTTGTTATTTATGGGGACCAGCAACAGGACAAAAAAAGAATGGCTTACTTTTTTAATTGAATCTCGATACAAAAGCAATAATTGAGCATAATTTGCTTGCATATGTTTTTAAGATTGTTTGGAATAGTTACACCCCTGAATAAATCAATTCAAGCTAGTCTTGTTTAGTTTAGTTTACTGGTCTATGATTATCAGGGGATTGGATGAATGTTTTGGTCCTATGGCTATGGAATCATCAAATATCAGATTATTAGTTGAAATGTTGATGTTTGGCTTAGGTTGCAGGGGAAACCATTTCCCCCCCCCCCCCTTTTTTTTTTTTTTAATTTCCTTTCATTGCTTATGAAATCCTGTCATCAGACTTCATTACTTGGATTACAGTCTATGTTATTCAGTCAATTTCTCTCTCTCTCTCTCTCTCACTTAAATGGATTCAGGGGCTTATTGATGCCATATGTACATTACTCATAGGTCTTTGTAGCGTGGGTTCCCATGGTTTAGCCTTTCTGTTTATTCATAACAAAGTTGTAGCCCTGTCAAGGAGTTCATAATAAAGGTTTTAAAGCAAAATTGGAATGTCAAGTAGTTGATTATGTGGTTTGCAGAAACCACCTCAAAATCTAGTACTTCTTGTTGTGCAATATCGATTGCAGCCCTAGGAAATTTCTTTTGCTGGTGGTTACTGAAGTTTTAAGCTATATCTAGTTATCTGTTCCTCTAGAAAAATGTCCTCTCAAGGTACACCGTTTGGCATTTTCCTGCTTCAGATCTCTTGATGATGGCAGCCTGCTTTTGTTTGAGATGCTAGCAGTTATATAATTGATGGCCATAACCATCTTTGTAAATCAAAGGTGTAATAGGGTCCATTTAGGAAATACTCCAACTTTTCTTGATCAACTCATTGCTTTTACTGATATGGTACAATAAGCATATTCAGCAGCTTTGCATCAGAGTTGGTTCTTAATATTAAAGTATATCTTCAAAACTCAGAGGTCAATATGATGTTGATTTGCTTGCGAAACATTTTAGTGGAATCCACTTGTGTTTTGACTTGTCTATCTTTTTTGATGTTTGCCTATGAACTGGTATCAGGTATCTAGATCTATTGGAGATGCATACTTGAAGCGACCAGAGTTTTCTGTTGATCCTTCTTTCCCACGATTTCACCTCTCTGAACCCATTTGTCGACCTGTGCTAACAGCAGAACCATCCTTGTGCTCCAGAGTTTTACGGCCTAATGATAAGTTTCTCATTTTTGCATCCGATGGACTCTGGGAACATTTGACAAATCAGCAGGCTGTCGAGATTGTGTACAACTATCCACGAGCAGTAAGTGCTATTTTTAGTGTAACTTCTTTTTATCATTCAACTTTGATTCTCTTATTGAACACACACTCCTCCAATGTTAGGGAATTGCAAGAAGGCTTATTAAAGCAGCTTTAAATGAGGCAGCTAGGAAAAGGGAGATGAGATATGATGATCTTAAGAAGGTTGATAAAGGGATTAGGCGGTTTTTCCATGATGATATCACAGTTGTTGTCGTCTTCATCGACCATGAGTCGCTGGCTACAAAGATATCTGTTCCAGGGCTGTCTGTACGAGGGTTTGTTGACACCATTGGACCCTCAAACTTCAACATTTTTTAAGGATTGATGTAAATCAGCAAATGCATGGTGTCTATCGTCTGAATTAATTAATAGCTTGTCCCTTGAAATAATCAGTGGGGTTGTGGTGAAGTTAAGCAAGTTTCTGTATGAATTTTATTCTCTTTTTTTTTTTTCCAACATGTAGTTGTTTCTGAATTACAGATGTTGAGATTTTAATTTAAATCTTGAGATGAGATTAGGCTATTTTTAAACTTCCAAGGCAGTTTCTATACAATTCCAAACACGTCAAGACCATCAAGAACTTCTTAGTTGGCAATGGCATACAAGAAATAAAAAATTTAAGATAATATTGATTATATAGAAAACATTATAGAAAAAGAGTACAAGAATTGGTCTTGTATTACATTAAATAAAGGCTTGTGAAATAATAATGAAAATAATTCCTGATTCAATCCAAAACCAAATCAGTAACAAAACACAACTCCTCTACAATCAAATAGTAGTGTAAAAGAAAAAAAAAATTGAATCGCTCCTTGTTTATCTTCTGGACATCAACAGTGGAAAACATAGGAAACCAAAAAAAAGGAACGGAGGAAACAAAAAAAAAAAAAGATAAGATAGCAACCACTTGATTTATAAGCCTTGCCGTGATACAAAATATGTACCGTATATCTCTTCATCCCAACCCTTGCCTTGCGTGCGTAACTAGAAGCATTTCCTGTGGACAATTGATGGCCCAGACTCGTCATACTCTGCCTTTGCAATCCACATCTGCAAAGAAAATGTCCACATTCAAATTTATTTTTTCTTTAATATATAAAAATCTGGATTTTTTCGAGTACTATCAAAAGAAAATGCCAGGAATGAACATTGTCTAAACTATTCTCCATCAGCCATCAGTTCAAAACATGACGGTTTATTGCTATCCAGAGCAAGCAGTTCTATCATATATTATGTAGTAAACACAATAAATTGTAAGTAGATAGTCATTTTACCATATGGTTTGTAACAAAGAATGACCAAAGTTGTTTATAAGTATATGTATTAAACTAAACTGTTATGAGAAATTAAAGAGTAGTAAAGTGATACCGAAGCATGTTTATGTAAAACACAAGATTCTAAAGAACCATAAAGGTATCAACCAAGATGGAATTTGTTTTTCAAAGATAAAAAGAGACAATACCTGCTGGAAGGTGCTGAGGGATGCCAAAATGGAGCCTCCAATCCAAACACTATACTTCCTCTCGGGTGGTGCAACCACTTTAATCTTCATGCTGCTTGGAGCTAATGCTGTGATTTCTTTGCTCATCCTGTCAGCAATTCCGGGGAACATAGTGGAGCCACCACTGAGGACAATATTTCCGTAGAGATCCTTCCTAATATCAACATCACACTTCATGATAGAGTTGTATGTGGTTTCATGAATGCCAGCAGCTTCCATCCCAATCATGGATGGCTGGAAGAGGACTTCTGGACAGCGGAATCGTTCAGCTCCAATGGTAATAACCTGTCCATCTGGTAGCTCATAGCTTTTCTCCACAGCAGGGCTGGTTTTTGCTGTCTCCAGCTCTTGTTCATAGTCAAGAGCGATGTAAGCTAGTTTCTCCTTCACGTCCCTCACAATTTCCCGCTCAGCAGTAGTTGTGAAAGAATAACCACGCTCCGTTAAAATTTTCATGAGGGCATCTGTGAGATCACGACCAGCTAGGTCGAGACGCAAGATGGCATGTGGGAGAGCATAGCCTTCATAGATAGGAACTGTGTGGCTTACACCATCCCCAGAGTCCAAAACAATACCTAAACAATAACCGTGCAGATTAGGGCAAGAGTGACCATGAAACATGCTTGTTCAGAAAAACAATCACTTCTAAAACAAGTCAAAAAAATATACTTAGTGGTTAGACCATGGTTAATTCTTTAACATTAGGAATAAAGGAATGCTAGAGATAATTTATTGTGTTCATGGAAACGGGAATTTCAAGACACCTGACATTCATGTAAGCAAGCTATTACAAGAGCTATATGCATATATGAAATGTCAAGTGATATGTTTATATAGGCTTCCATGGATCTTGATTTACCATGCTTGATCATGACTGATGAAGTCAACAAACTTGTGTTTCTAACAAGATCTAGGCAAGAAGATTACCAATTTCAAACATTACCTAAATTTTCTATTAACCATTTTCGGATATAAATCTTGACCTATGATCAGATGGATATAATTTCCCATGCATAAAGTTGAAAATCAAGAAGCAAATGGTGGAAGTGCTTACCTGTTGTACGACCACTGGCATACAAGGAAAGAACAGCCTGGATAGCAACATACATAGCAGGGGTGTTGAATGTCTCGAACATAATTTGAGTCATTTTCTCACGATTGGCCTTGGGGTTAAGAGGTGCTTCTGTGAGGAGAACTGGATGTTCCTCAGGGGCAACTCGAAGCTCATTGTAGAAGGTATGATGCCAGATTTTCTCCATGTCATCCCAATTGCTAACAATACCATGCTCAATTGGGTACTTCAATGTCAAAATACCTCTTTTCGATTGAGCTTCATCTCCCACATAAGCATCTTTTTGGCCCATACCCACCATCACACCTGTGTGACGTGGGCGACCGACAATGCTAGGGAACACAGCTCTTGGAGCATCATCTCCAGCAAATCCAGCCTGAAAAGTTTGACATCAATCAGCATCTAAAACACCGGTCAAGCAAACTAATATGATACTATCACCATATTTGCAATAAAAGGAAGTGGAGATCGGATGAATGTTTACCTTGACCATTCCAGTCCCATTGTCACAAACAAGAGGCTGAATATCCTCGTTTTCTGCCATTTTCTATCGCCTGTCTCACACAAATAGGAGACCAACATCAATAACCATATATAATATAAAATGATCCCATATCAGAATTTTATACATCCCATCACTACAAGCTACTTGTAAGATGCGGCACAATTAATCCGCTGAGACTATACAATTTAAAACGCGTAGCCGAAAATGACATCATATTTAATCAAAAACAAGGAATAACACTAGCATTATTCCTCCATCGTCAACTGAAAAAAAACTCCAATTGAGGAATCCAACATGCAAATGTTCAATCCAACTGTTGATCTAACTCCTCAAACCAATAGACTTGTTTTTTCTTTTTCAAAAATCAGAAAATATGAGGATGAAAATTCACATTCTGTAACATGATAATGCAGCAAAATCATCAATAACTAAACGCAAAATTGGGTAAAAATTCGGAAGTTTACATTAAAAGGAGCCTGAAGTTGAAGATCTAAGAATCGAAATCCAATCTAATTAGTACCAAAAATTGATAGAATAAAATCAGATGAAACAAACAAAAAATTAAATTCAAAAATAAAGAAAAAAAGAAGTACCTTTTCTCTCTCTCTCTCTTGCTGTTTTAACGGACTGTTGAGCTATGCGGGATTATGCAGTTAAGGTGCCCGCCCTCTTTGTTTTAAGAAAGGAAGGTGGTGCAAATGAAACTCCGCTTCAAATGTAAATTCACCTCAAATTCGATTTCGTCAAATCTTGGCCGTCCGTTTACCCTGTCCCATCTAACGACCCCATTTCTCGTCACGTTCATGGTGGAAACAGCTGGCTCCCTTTCGGTTTACCAATCTGTGTGGACGGATCTACCTCTCTCTTTAAATAGATTGCCCTTTTTGTAGTACTAAGAGAAAAATATTAAACTCAACTAGGACTTAGATGTCAACTGGGAATTCCTTTAGGGGCAAATTAGTCCTTCAAAGGGCCTACTAAATAAAGAAAAATTTCTAAATTAAATTCCTTTTTGATCACTTTATTGTCTGATTAATTATACACAGGAACATGAAAAAGAAAAAAAGAAAAAGCAGGCAATCTGCCAACTCAGCATTCAGTTCCCAACCGTTCAGAGTTGATGTCCCAACTCTGCCTTTGTCCGTCATTCACCTGCGGTCACTTCCACCTACACTTGTCTGATCCTCCTCTATTCTCTCGACTATAAAGCGGGTTAACGTTGACCGTCAAAAATGTTATTGAACGGAAGATTTGGAGTTTGAATATATGCAGCATATTCAACGAAAACGTGCGATACATTACCGTCAAATAGAAACGCACAACGTGGTCGCGAATCTCGGACACCGGGGTTTAGAAGTTTGACCAAGTCAAAATTTCTTTTCTAAAAGGATTGGAAATTTGATTTATAGAAAATATAATTATACATTTAAAAAAAAAAAGAGCTTATTGGATTTTTTTCGTTCACCCTTTAAGATGTCTTTGTATTCAAATTTTAACTATTAATTTTTAATATTCTCATAAAAAATTTTCAATATAATAATTTGTATGTGATTCTTTAGTTATAAAGATATTTTTTCTCCAATTAATTCTCATATTTTGTTGTTTAATTGATCGAAATATATAGGTAGAAATAATTTTTTTTATTTTTAAAAAGTTATTTTGTTTATTTGAACAATAAAAAATTTGAATTATACACGTTAAATGAAAAATCATATATCAATAAAAGGAATAAAATATTTTAGCGCATGATAAAACTCAAGTTTAAACCTCTTTCATAAAAATAGAGTTAAAATACTAATATTTATTTCGTTGATATTTTTAATTTTAATTAATATAAGAGAAATTATTTAATAGTGACAATAAAGTTTTTTAATTTTAAAAATAAAGTTAAGATGATAACATATATTTTATTTTTTTGAAATTAAATTTTTATTATTTAAATATATATTAAAAAATATATATTATTATCTTAATCTTATTTATAAAATTAAAAAATTTTACTAACAATATATTTTATAATTTCTCTTAATGTAATTACCTCAGTTCTTTCGTGCCGTAATTGTTGTAGTTGGAAACGGACCAAAACACATTTCTACTATAATCATGCTTCTTCCCATGGAAAAAACGTAATTATTGGATCAAATTAGAGTTTCCTTTGGCATACGTTTATATGATAAAATTTTATACGGAGGTATTGTGGGTGAAATTCATAAAATTTTTTACTAAACGCAAATCAATAAAAATTAAAATTAAAAATTA